CCGTTCATGAAATATATTTTGTGAGAAGTGGGTTTGTGAGATTGTGAGAAGTGGGTTTGAATTTTAAAGGCAGCAAACAGGCAAAAAACACCCTCCATTGATTTTAGCTTCCTCTTTTGTCTACTTTCCGAACTATAAATTCCCCACGTAAAAATTTCACTTGACCATGCTTCTGACATAAGAGTGAATGAAAATTGGATTTAAAGTTTCAGGATTGCACACTGAGAAAAACCATACTACTAAATTTTCAGTCTTGCTAGTTTCGGGGCAAAAAATTTCTCATCAGTACATTCACTTGTGTGTAATCTGAAACCTAGGCGTATTTGCAAGCTGAGTTTAAATTTATTTGGTTGTCCATGGACGAGGAACATCCTCTTAAGAATTACATCTCCCTAGCTTTCTTGGTTTTCGATTTGGCAGTTTTCAGGCCAAAATCTTCACGTGACTGCACGTGAGACCTGGACGCGTTCAGAGACTGAACAACTTTTCAGGATTGTACGCAGGCAGAAAACATGCCCCTCAAACTTCAGCTTCTTAACTTTCCCGGTTCTCGAGTTGAACACTCGGGACAAAACGTGTTCGAATACATATGTATATATATGTGTATGTATGTATGTATGTATGTATGTATGTATGTATGTATGTATATATGTATGTATGTATGCATATATATACATACATCTACTCATATATATGTATATATATACATATATACACATGTACATATATATGTATATATACGTATTCAGACACATGCACAAACATACGCATTCGAACACACACACATATACACACACACACACATATGCATACACATGCACATAAATACACACACATACACACAGGTAGGATCGTAATAACATGCATTTTGTGCAACTGTTAAAATACAAAATGCATAAAAAGTGTACAAAGAGAATTTTAGACAAAACGACTCAGATGACATACTATTGTACCTCAAGGAACCAAAAGTGACAAATAGAAGTGGGTAATTGTGTACAACTAAGCTCGCATCATTTCCCATTCTCAGGGAATCATCAAAAATGCGTATGGGCTCATATTTAAGTAAACAGCATCGTTAGTCAGTTCAAGCGTTGGTGTAAGATCATTGCCCACTGGTTCAGTCTGGCCGCGGAATCCGAACTCACGCCGCCCACCTGGGACAAGAACAACTACACCAATCTGCCAAATACTGATTCACCCCTCCAACTTAATAGGAATAAATCACAACATTAAAGACAACATTTTGGCACTTACATGAAGACGAGGGAGAATTACGTCCGTTTCTTGATTCATTACTCCTATCAACGGCAACCACCTCCATCTTATCATCAGCGATCGACGCATCCGTACTCCTACAGCTCACTTCGGCAGTTGATTTCTTGCACGAAATATCGCTCACTGACTTCATCAGACCAATGTAACTGCCCTCCGGCCCGTGAATCGAAGCTTCCAAGTCGAGATCACTAATCGAAGAGCAGCTTCCACAACAACTGCGCGTGTCCATCGCCGCTGTTTCACTACCCGTAATAAAACGCCGCCGGCTCCGACGCATACTTCCTGGACTGTGCCGTGCCAGTTCATCGGTTGCTACAACAGTAGACATCAGAAAACACTCTATTAAAAAGCTTGATTTCTGGCGATCAAATTGAGGAACCTTGCAGCCGGTGTAATTTCTTTAAGGGATAAGCGAGTGCGGCAGTGGTTATTATGAAAATTGTTTGCAAGAATTTTAATACTTTTTTTCAGAGTTACGCAAAAAGAAACGTAGAGTAACGACCGAAGTGAAATACTTCTATTTTCCCCTCTAAAATTACCTACCCTTTTTTCCTTTACAAAAGAGAATGAAAGAAATTTCTATTCTTTGCACCTATTTTCTCAATCCATCCGGATCTTCATGTCGCGTCTGCCTTCCCCTAAATGATGTAAAAAAGCGGGAGAAAAGTGTAAAAAAAAGGTGCAGGCCCTCTGTAGCCTCGGAATCCCTTAACAGAAGAGGAAGCGGACTCAAAAATATCGCCATCCCCTTCCTGGCGTTGTCCAAATTAACACTGATCTTTTTCGCAAAGAAATGGTTCAGCTTTAGCTCCGCCTCGCTCCAGCTAGATTCAGCTTATAAAGCCAAAATATGTACAGTAAGTATTTTTTGCCACCGATT